CGTGAACATTTCCGATATTTGCTATCCACTTTAAAATTCAATCTTGATTTTTACCTGCCCAGCAATATATTCCAAATAAAGCTTTATATATTCTATCTTTATAAGCTTCTCCAGCTTATTTTTTCCACTCTTAGCCGTTAACTTCAAATAAATGATATATAAAATGTGTAGTGAAATACTCATCCTATAGATAAGGCTGACACGATAGGTCGAGTCTCCTTTTAAACAACCGATGGACAAAGATCGATATCTAGTGCTCTTAATAGATTTACATGCGCAATGAATACAACGTGCTTTGAAAGTGCTTGGTAAACACTTGGATCTAAAACTTGCAAATTCTTGCAAATTTTATTTCTCAATAAAGCAAAAAAAAAAAAAAATAATAATAATAATAAAAAATTGCCTACAACTTATTTATATTCACATCAAAATTCTAGAGTACTTAAATATCATTGCAAGCCCAATAAACATAATACGCATAATTTACGTCAATGCAACGGATGAACATAAACATCGCAATTATGCATGTAAGAGTATTTTTAATGCAGCAGTGTACGCGTACAATAGCAAAAATTCATGAAATCATCATAGTCATTATCATCATCATCATCATCATCATCATCACATTCTCAATGTAATTATGATAAACTTAACGAGTGTAAATTACGAGAAGCATGCACTTGTTGGTAATTATTGTAGGCAGATTTTATAGGTATGTACGTACGTACGTTACACATTCACGCATTTAACATATATACGGATATATGTACAGTACTGTGCAATGTATCTACAATGTGTATAGTTTTATATTTTAAATAATTTAGTTGTTGTTATTGTTATGTTTTATGTTAAGTCGCCTAACTGAACACAATAGAAAGATTATTGAACTTTTTCATACTGTGGCAGTAGCAAGTATCTAGAGATAAGTTCTATATATATATATATATATATATATATATATATATATATGTGTGCGTGCGTATACGGATGTGGGTGTGCTCGCTTGTTTGTTTGTGCGTTTTTCCTCGACAATGCTCACTTAGAAGAACCGATCTACTATATATTGTCTACAGATTATAAACTGCGTTTTTATGCGCACTTACATCTGTTTGACAGACTTACACACACACACACACACATACATATCCAAGCTAATAATCTTCACTTTAAGATCGTTTAAGCATCTGTAACAATAGTAATAAAAAATTATAAGCAACATGAAAACAGAAAAATTAAATTATCTCAAATGAAAATGTCTCCGTTCAAATAACGTTCTTCTTATTGTTTCTTTTCTTTTGTTTCTTCTTTTTTTTTTTTTTGTGTTTTGGGAATTTTTCACTTCTTACATACGCATACTTATACGCATATTTATGCGCATAACTAATAAACGCTATATTTTAAGTATAAAATGTTGTCTATCTTCCATGCGGCACGAAAGTAAAATAATAATAAAAAAAAAAAGAAAAATTATTTCAACACTGGTCGAATCTTTTACACCTATCTATTATACCTTTATCATAAAAAAGGGAAAACTAAATATTCATATTCAATAATATTAGGTGAGTGGGTCCTAATTATTTCCATTTTTGTTGAAATTTCGATCGTGCCGTTCCCAGTTTATGCTGCACTGTAGACACATTCCATCGGCCAATTTCGCCTATTTTCAATATATTTTCTGTCCAATTTGAAGATGATTTCTGCGCTTTTGCGAACGACAGAGCGTTTACCGCAAACGTTACGCGAATTGAGAGAAGGATGTGTGGACAGACAAACGGATGAACATAATTAGGTCTATTGTGAGTTTGCCATTAATCAAGAATATTTTTACTCTATGGAGTTTTTGAAGTTTACTTCTGGACTTCACAAAGGACTTTCAGCACTATAACATGGGGCTGAGTGTGGGCGATTCTTTCCTTTTTTCTACAGATGAAAACTGGGCTATCCAAAGAACATGCATCAGAAATTTTTACAGTTTTATCTGCAGTAGTTTGTGAATGATAAGAAAAAAAAGCAATTGTTTTATTTCTTTTGAAAGACAGAGGTGTTCTCAGTTGCTGTAGTACTGTAGGCGTGCCCTTCCACCGATTTGGCTCAGTTTCAATGCCAGCCTGTTTGCAAAAACTTAGAATGTCTCTGCCAAATTTGAAATTGATAGCTTTGTTTTCGAGGCCGGGCGAAGGTTTACGGCAGACATGCAGGTGGATAGATGGATTCAGCTTTCGATGCTTTCAAGTTGATGTTGCAAACTTTTTAACAAAATGAATATAACCTCACCCTTGAGTGATAGAAATAATAAAGAAAACACACACACATATATGGGTCGGTCGTCCGTTTCCCTGAAGATATGGCACGCAAGACGAGAAGATACGTTATAACAATTGATCGAAATTACTAAAGAATGCGTCTAAGCATCACTTTAAAACCCATTTATTTAATACGTATGCGAGACAAACGCGGTTTCATTGTTATCTCGCTTGTTTTTGCAATTTTGGATGTATTCACATCGTTGGCGGAACACTTACTAGATAAGACCTACGCGCATGTCAAACACGAAGAGCATTTTTGACAATAATAATATTTCTTCTAGTTCCCGTTTAATCCGGTATTAGAAAAAAACATCTTTGTAAAGAGCTTCATTGTAAGAAAAGGTAGAGAAATACTTGGGTTTTATACACTTTTCTCAAAAAGTTTACACACATACTTACTGAAACACTATAACACTTGTTGATAAGAGCAGGGCGCGAGCCAATATTTTCGGCAACGTGGAAGGTGGATGAAATGCTTACGCCTGCAAAATGATGACAGAAAGCTGAAATTGGAATATGAATTTTGATGTAATTTGTGCTAACAAGGAGCAAAAAGTTATAATTAACAATTTATACGGCTCATTGGATTCACGTCTGATACCAATAGTTACGACAACTGAGTCGTATTTGTCATATACAGCTTTTTGATTGCGTTTTACACATAAAGAGATGTGTCTTCGTGAACTTTAAATACGGAACGGAAAATTGTGCCTTACCACCTACAAGATATACTTTTTTAAAACTGACTACATATGTATACATATATGCATATATTTCTTAGGTCCCTGGTCAAAATCGATTTGACACGATTTGACTAGCACGCCCACAATTTTAAATTAAATTTAAATTTAAAATTAAAAATTTTATAATAATATTATATAAGAGACTTGTGGAAGCTATCAAAAATTCGATCTCAAGCGGATATAAATGTTTTGCTTGTTATTGCTAACATTGCGTTGTGCCAAAGCTTTGTGCTTATATTTATTAATTCAATTTTAAGTATCAAGTGTATGTAGTAGAATCGGATATAAGTATATGCATATCTAAGAAACGAAAATTCGAACTTGCCTAATTAAAGCCAAAGGAATAAATTTGCATATATATTGCAAAAACCATGTTATACATTGTAGGTCTCTATAATTTGACTAACAAAATTAAAAATTTTCCGCGGGTTGTGTAACAATAATCCAATTATTGTGATATAATGATGATTGATAATAATTATCAATAAGTTTATTAGCTTTAATGCGATTACCTCTTATTTTCTTTAGCTAACCTCTACATATCATAAGGAATCAGTAAAATTAAATATTTGTTCCTCGATTTTTTCTGAGCAAGCAGTAATAGCAGTTAAAAGAAAACAGCAATGCATTGTGTTAACAATTTGCAATTTTAACAAATGAAAATATGAATTATATATGGTATCGTTTACTATTCATTATAATAATGATACCTTGAAAATTAAAAATCTTATTACAACGCATTTCAGTATAATTTGTAGGATGGGTTAGTTCATAACGGAATAATTAAAAATTAATACATAACTGAATTAATATATTCAAAAGATCAAAACGTCAAAATATTTAATAAGATATATTTTCTTTTATTTCAATATTTTTTATAAGATTCGTATCTTACATCTACAAGTAATAAATTTTGCCTGTAAAAATCTTGATTGATCGCCTCTAAACGCTTTATTTAATGTAATATCTTCAGTCCGGCAACTCAGTATTACTTAATAAACATCGTGGGAGAGAGAGAGCAAGTGAGAGAGTACTCTTAAGTCCATGAAAGAGTAAGAGAGTGAAATAAAACATGTCGATAAGCGACGATAATTCAGCAAACACTGTTATCGGTTTCGAGCTAAATGCTACAAATTGAGTAATGGCAGCACTGTGGTATATACTGCCATTGCTTTTGTAAAATTTTGTTTTACTCCTTTGTTACGGGAGAAAACATTTGTTATTAACTTATCTCTACTGTGTTAGTTGATTTTTTGCAAATGAAAGGTTAGGAATTTTTTTGTTTTTCTATTCGATATGTTGTTGTTGATGTATTTTTTACAAAACTTTGTTTGGTTTGAGAGGGTTTTTTCGGTAACCTGGCATCACTGGCAGCACAGTGGCATTGTAAAATTTTGTTTTACTTGTGTCATTAAAAGAGAGAATGGAGAGAATCATCCCTTTTTAATAATGGCTTACATAAATACAAACAATCCTAGATTTAGTTTCAGTCCACAACAACAAAATTTTGATTCTCAAAAAGTCATCGGTGCCTTTCATAAAAACCCACAGCAAAGTAAATTTTACTCTCAAAAATACATTGTTACTCTCAGTGCCTTCCATAAAAACCCACAGCGAAGTAAATTTTACTCTCCATTTCTACTCTCCATCAGACATCGGTGACTTACACTAGAACACACACCAAAGTAATTTTTACACTCCGAAAAAAGACTTTACTCTCAACAAAATAAGATTTGATGGTTAAAGAGCCTAGCGATTTGTTTCGTCCGTTTAATTTGCTTTCAATTTCTGAGAGTAAAATTTACTTTGCTGTGCATTTCCACGGTAGCGCTTTTTTTATGAAATTTATAAATTTCTGGCGACAAATCTATATGAACGGTCGCGCTTTTACGCTATTAAATCAATCTCCCGCTTCTATAAAAGATATTTTAAATATACGCAAAAAAATATTTAAAAAAGTATTTTGTCGCAGCAAATAATAATAGAAGTCACAGTGCGTTTTTTTTTAATTGGTTATTAATTTTAACTAAAGAAAATCCAAATTTTGGCCGGAAGCATATATAAAGTATAGAAACACAAAATAAGATTCTGCGAATTCACTTGTTAATAAATGCTAAGTTAGTTGCAAAAGTAACATAAATCATTGCTAACGTAAAATACATCTTGTTTGGCGCGTTACGAGGAAGATGTGCAAATTTTGTATCGCAATAGCTTGTGTGAAATAATATATGTAAATTGTGCGGAGACTGTTATCAATCAAATCAATTAATATGTAATTATTAACTGAGCAGAAAATTTATATTAAATTAATCAAGAAAAACAAAAGAAAAAATACACTTGAAAGACGAAAAAGTTTCCAATAATGAAAAATCCAGTAATCGGGGCTAAGACGTGCTTCGTGTTTTGTAAAGGTAACGGTTTTAAGTGTCAATACTAGGATTTTGACTTCAGAACAGAAACAAAAAGCCAAAAAAATCAATTAAAATTTTAAAGCAACGCAAACAAGGCTATCTTTAATGACTGTATAAAAACCAAAAAAAAAAAAAAAAAATATTAAAGATATGTAACTGATTAGATGAGTAAAATATTTGCAAAAGTGCTTAATCCTAAGAAAAAGAAGAGCAACATCGTATATTCGTTAGTTGAAATAAATTTGTTGGGAGAAAAAAAGGCGCAGTCTTGATTGCAATTATCTTCTACTGTTGTTGCAGTTAATATTATGACAAGTTGTTAGTGCGGCGTGCTGTACTGTCGCTAGTATTGCTTGCTTATTTAAATTTTCCGCTTGTGTACTGTTTCATTTTTTTTTCTACTTTCCGAAGTTACACTACAGTAATGCAACAATAAGCAAAAGCAAAGGTACAAAACGTGTTACACTAAGAAGATTGCGTGAATGAGTGTGTTTGTGTCAGTTGGTGACATGTTTTGTTAGTTGTATTCTTTCGAACGCGTGTAAAAATATACATGACAAAACAAAAAATCAGTGAAACCATACAAGATACTCAAATGCAAACAAACAGCGTAGCAGACATAACACAATTAAACTATGAAAAATTGCAAATAGCATTTTGTATTTGTATTTGAATATGTTAGCAACAATTTATTAAGATAATTAACAGTATTCAGAAAAATAAAAGCTAAACTATACTTAATAAATTGTAAATATGTAACAGCGTGTGTGTGTATTCGTTCTTCAATAGTTAATTGAGTTATTTATAAATAAAAATATAAAAAATCAAATGTAAAAAAATCTAGTGAACAAGTGAAAGTTATATTCTTAACAATACAAATAACTTGATTGTAAAATAAAACTTTTATAAGGATTATACGCCTCGAGGTTTTACAAAATGAAGTGTATACGGTATAGAAGAAAGGTAAGCACTTCAGTTTTTTTTTCTCAATCTTTTACTTTTATTTTCTATTTATTTTTCATCATCTGCTTTGCTCTTGGTTGGCGTAAATTGACCTTAGTCTCGTTACATTTTTTCTTTTGTGATTCTGTTTATTTTACTTACATTGCTTACTGTCCCAGGCAGATGTGTGCGTGTGTATGTGCATTCTAAGTGAAAAATAAAAAAGGGCGCTCCTTTTTTCTTACCATCCTTTTTGTTCTATCATCCCTTTTTTTGTTTTTGATGTTTTGCCTTTACGACCATTTATTGATGTCGTTAAAGATTTCAATATCGGTGTTTGGTTGAGTGTGTTTGCACTTATTTTGTGTGGGTAGTCTGCTGCTGAGTTTCTTTAGAGATAACAGGGTTGCATTTCTTCAGCGATTTATACATTTATTTTTTGTTTTTGATTTCGCTAACTAACTGATGCGCTCGTTATATGAAGAGAAGCAAAATATGAGAAAAATTAAGAGAGAGCGCCACATATTCTCGTTGGTTTCTTTTCGTAAAACAAGTTTTTGTTTTGCTCAAACCAGCTAATAACATTCTAAGCTTCGCTATGAAAGATATCGTCGTAACAGTGTTGCCATATATTTTTTATCCATAAACATAATAACATATTTATATTACTCTATTTATATATGATATATATATTTTTTTTTAATTTACTTTACACTCGTGGATAAATTAACTTAAATAGAATAAATATAAAATTGTTAGCCTTAACATTTTCTGCGTATTTATTTACATTTTATAATTCTTGTTGGCGTTTTTGTCACCCATATATCAATTTGCGCTTAGAAATTAAGACTCACATATTGCGTTAGGTAGGTATGAATCTAATAATCCAAATTTATGTAATTGACTCCTCAATGTTAGCACGTACGCACATGAGCTGCATAAATTTCAACGTCTTAAAGAATGAATATATTCACTTTTATAGCCATGTTTTTAAGAATGATCGCTGTGCTACTTGCCAATTTCGGCATTGAATGTAACAAATAAAAGAGAGATAGATAAGCGCACGTAGATGATTAGAAAAAGATCTAGTATTCGATGATTTCACATATACATTTAACACTTATAAAGATAAAATAATGTTTTCAACAAAAATTTACATTTTCTATTTGCGAGTTTCCGTTTGTTAGCACAGCATGCATTTTTCGAACTTCCCGATTATTCCGCTAAATGGCTATTTGACAATTTATAATAGAAAGCAGATAGGAGAGTTATATTCGCTACAGAGCGGCAAATAGGTATACAAGATATGGAAAATATTGTATTAAGTTTTGACTTGCTTAGCAACTCTACGAAATATTTTGAAATCGTTTTTTACTTAAATATCGATTGTATCGATTCGAAATTAAAGGCTTTGACTGATCATCAACTCGTGTTCCGGCTAATCAAACAACTTTCAAAATTGAACTGTGACGACATGTGTATTTGCTTTGTAAATAGTGAACTTTTTCAAAACTAAACATGCGGCAAGATGGAAGAGTCTATCCTGTTGTGAGCGCTCGATCAAGTCCACCATACTTTAATACTCTCTCAGTGTATATAGAAAACAAAAGAACAAAAAAAAAAAAAAAAAAAAAAACCAATTTGAGAAACATACATTATTAACTGAATTTCGATAAACTGAGCTGTGACGTATTAAAGGATCATTTTTCCCTAAATACATAAACCAGCGAAGCAAGATGATATAAGAATAAAAGTAGCATAAGTCAATCGTCCTGTAAGCTCCTTCAATTTTGTTGCCTTTCTGACGCAATGCAAATTAAACCGGTTTTAAGGATAAAATTGGTCAAAAGTTCTTTTTTGCACTTATTGTAATCAAAACTTCAAGAAACGCATATCTCTCCATATGTGGTTACAGGTTCTACCACTTGAGCAAACTATAAAATAATCTGTTATGTTAGAGCCGAGTTGGCCGCACGTAACCACACCGCTGGAGATCTTGCACTATACTTTTTTTTGCGATTTGATCAATGATTTTTACTTCTCCAAGGCATTAATGGATATGAAATTTAAAATTGATTGGTATATGATTTCTAAACAGAATGTAGTATGTTTCCGTTATCTTGACGCTTGATGTGATTGCGATTGTTGTTAACAATTTTATATACAAAATTTTTTTCTTACTTTGGTCTTTTTTGTCCGTTTCCATTCTAGCCAAAAATTTTCGCATACACCGGCAAATTTCTATTTATACACAACGTCTTTTAGAAATGTTGGGATAGCTGGCAATGCTTGTTAATTCGAAAACAGGTGGCATGGAGTTTAACTGATAACAGAGCCAATAATGTGTTTACTTGAAAATAATTTGAACATATCTAAGACTTTATTTAACTAAGAATTTATCTATCTATCTATGTATTTGTTTATTTATGTATTTTTTCATCTCTCTTTGTCTTGGAATATCCTCTGGTAAAAGGTATGTTTGCTTAAAATTAGACAAAACCATGTTTTGAATCCATCTATGCGTTATTGTTGAGTGCTCAACGTCTTAAACTGTTACTAGTCTAATATTCACAAGTTTAAGATCCGTGTTTTCTGCTAGACTTTCTTTGTAATCATTTTTAGTACTATAAAGAGAGCAGATTGGGGGTCTCACGACCCCTGTTAAACGACGGATGCATTAAGATTACTCACGTATATTCTTTTCATGTTAAATAGGACCTTTTCTGCTGAAAATTTCTAGATACTTTTTCTAAATTATTAAACGCAATCGTTCTGATTAATTAACAGGTCAAACATTATTGATATTCGCCTCATCTGCATTCCGTGCCCATTTTGATGAAAAAAAACGCTACTGCTACTAATCCCTCGAGCAACGTGTCTCGAAATTTTTATCAGCTGTTTACAACAGTCATACCAACTTATCAACGAAAAAGTTTATACATCGATATCATGGCGCTGGTGTTTTAAAAAAATGCAACCTGATTACTGCTTATACATAAAGCTTCGTCTGTTTGATTTTAAATTCGCCTGTGTAGCCGAGTGGGTAAGAATCGCAACTACGAAGTCCGAGTTCGCGGGTTCAAATATCAAGTGCGGTGTCTTTCGTTCCTTTGGTCGTAGCTGTAGTGAGTGCTCAGCCAATAAAGGCATAACACTTGTCGATTGGGGACACCCTGACTAGGCTGCGGCCACTCCGCCGCCTCATTCTTCTTTCCTCTCTTCTTTCTGTCCGCATGATCTCATGACGCCCATAACTATGAGACTAATGGGACTAACCATCAACTTTGTTACTTTTTCGGTAAACAGTTTTTCACAAATTGCTAGCAAAGCGAATAAACTTTTGTCACTTATTATATAAGCATGCATACATATTGGATGGACGAACCAGCTGCGTCAAAAATTTAATATTGATTTCCCAATTATTGCAATCATTGTTTTTGTTGGTTTTATTAGTTTTGTTGTCATTGTTATTTTCATCAATTCCGTAGAAAAAGTTGACACCTAAAACCTCGACTGCGGTATCGATTGTTTATGTTGTATTATCCAAGAGACGCGTCAGAGATCAAATACAAATTCTACTATTGTTATTGATTAGAAGTGATTGCGTTTTTAATTTCGAATAAATAATTTTCCAAAACGAAATAAATTCGAAAATTTCAACATATAACATGCATTTGGATACTATAAAGTGCTTAAATGTCGGCCTGAATGCCTTTCAACTTTTCGTTTACTAACGTTATCGTAACGTAATTGGATTCATTATTTAGTTAGGATGTCAATAATTACTTTTTTGAACAATTTTCTTTAACTATAAACCTTTGCTAACATAATATCTAACAATCGCACTAATATAATACATGCTGTGAGTTGAGTATGTGCTAACTGCACTCTTGTGTATATATATATATATATATATATATATACAGTATATATATGTATGTTGTCTCCCTCTTATATATAGATATGACTTGTTTAATATTGTTATTGTTGCTGTTGTTGCCTCTATAGTCAGTTTTTGCTTTTATTATCAACACTATGGCCACTAATGTACTAGTCGTATGAGGTGCGATCTGTGTGCTCTTGCCAGCACAACGTTAGCGTTCTTGAAAAAGTTCAACGACTTGTTGTTTTTATTTTTTTTTATTATTTTCTGTTTATTATTATTAATATATATGTATTTTATATGTGTGCAGGTGTGTGTGTGTGTGTGTGTGTCTATATATATTTTTGTTTGTATTTTTTATTTTTGTTATATCGGAGATAGACATTCATTCGTTCCATAACCATTGGAGATTTGGCAGTAAACGGAAATTTTGATTTGACAAAATTTTCAAATAAAAATAACAATGACAACAAGACGAACAACAATAGTATAATAACAACAACAACAACAACAACAATAACAATAATAATAGCAAGTATTGTATAAGACATTCAGTTTTTATTTGTATTTTCTTTTTAACCAAAAAGCATTTTACAATCACTTAAAAATTCGTAAAACAAGTTTTGCAGAAAACATTTATTTATTTATTTATCTATTTTTTTTATTTTTTTATTTTCAATAAAAAGCCAATGCATTGCAATATCAGTTTGTTGTTGCGTTTGTAACGCATTCAAATATTTACAAAATCAATCAATTTTATAGATATTTTACAAGCAGAAGAGCTATTGCAGCGGCGATCAATTATTCCCTTTTGTTTGTCAAGTTCCTAAACGGAGCTAATTCTCTCCGCACAAGTCTTTATCGTCCATGTCGATGCTTTTCAGAGACAAAGAACTGATGTCCGCATCGTTTAACAACACTTCGTGCAACAAATCAAATAATATGGGAAAAGTTGCGCGAAAAATTTCGTTACCTTCCCATCAATAATCTATAATTTAACAATAGATGCGGACATGAAATGGATGATAACTATATATCGATAGATTCTCTGTTAGCAGCATTGATACTTGAGCTTGCAATTCAAAGTTCGCCTTGAAACAAACTTGTTTTCGCGACCTTTTTCAAAAGTTCTTATCGT